TCTCTCCTTGTTCTGGGCTTCTGCCTTTCTGACCCTTCTCCTGCTCTGTCGCCTCCACCCCTCCTCTCTTTGCAGTACCCTGATTGGCTGAACTGCCACCGGGAGTCCCTCCCTCCTGACCAATACCAGCGCTACGAGCAGCAGCACAGACTCATGGGAGAAATCTGCCAGCAGTTTGAGGTCGAGGGTGAGCAGGGCTGCTTTGAGACCGTGCTGGAACTTATGCAGCAGGTGAGATGTGTGGTGCCTTTTCCTGGCCCTGCAGTGTCTAAGAGGGTTGATTTGTTTCTGGGCCCTGGTGCCTTAATGTCTAGCAGGAGCAGTGCTTGTATAACGAGCTTCACTCTATAGCTAATACTTTGGATCAAGCTGTAAGTCCAGTGTCATAAAGATTGCAGGAAAGTAAGTCCGGTTAATGAGTTAAAACGAACGTTTTCCTTTTGTAAAGCAGTGTGCTGACTCCATATTGTATAACCTCATTGCTCACTAGTGGGATCACTGTGTGGTACAGCAATACTACCATGCATGACACTACAAAGGCTTGTGGCAACGGCACAGATGATTGTAGGATGTGATTTACCATCAATCGGCGAGATTCACACCATCCTCTGTCGCAATAAAGCCCTGATCCATCATTCAGGATCCCAACCATCCTGGCCATAAACTGTTCTCCCCCCTCTGCTTTGACAAGTGGTACAGCACTGTTGAAGCACAGACCACTAGGCTGTAGAACAGTTTGTAATCTACAGCAGCTCGCATCCTTATGCCTCAGAACTCTTCACTGTGCACTTTTGACTTGGAATACCATATATTTATTGTTCCCTACCATGTATTTATTGTTCTCTACCACGTACTTATTGTTCTGGTTGTTTATTGACCATACATACTGTACCTTATAAATAATGATCATTTTTGTAATGTACTGTCTAGATTGTGTGGTGGTGTCTGTCGTACTGTATCGTCTGCTGTTCTGTGTATATCCCGAGAGAACGGCGCATATACATGTGGCAGTAAACACCTCTTTTCTGCTCTACATTGTACGCAGCGTGATTGTGAGCATGGTGATCGTATTTATTGATTAGCAGAAAGAGGAAAGGCCCAGAAGACAGGGAAGATGGGATTTTTAATAAGGCTTTCTTTTTTTATATTAACACAAGACAGTGGAAAATAGTTTGCCAATTCTATCCTAGGTTTTTTTAAGCTTCTAGTTGCTTCCCCTGTCTATCAACACATTGCTGAGTGTAGCAGTTGAAATCTCTGCTTTCTCTTTCAGCTGCAGGATCTTGGTCACCCTCCCAAAGAGTTAGCAGGAGAGACGGTGAGTCAGTCACTTCATATAGCTCTGCTTATGCACCAGGGTGTTCAACTGAGCCCTTGTAGGCCTTGTTCTTCAGTTGTCTGATATGAAGATAAAAGCACGATTATGGATTCTTGTCTAATGACTGAACTGGGCTTAACTACAGCTTCATTGCTGTAAAGACTGGGAATATTTTGAAAATCCATCTTCTTAAGAGCTAAAATGATATGCTTCTTGTGTTTTGCCCATGTGACATTGTAAATTCCCATTTTTCATTAGTTTTTTTCCCCCCACTTTGGATCAGTTGCATTGTTAGTCTGATTATTTAAGTAACTGTAACACTAAACCAGGCTCTGAGGTGTTTTGTAGCTAACAGTACCTTTAACAATGTCAGTGTTAAAGCTTTTGCGTAATCGACTGTATAGGACCTTAAGTTAAATCCTGTATATGTCTAACAATGTTACTAATTAGGTTAATTGTTTAATTGGAGGTTGGAACAAAAAACAGAAGAACTAGGACTTTTGTGAGCTAAATAAAATGATGACAATAGGAAAATCAGGATGATACCTGTTCTGAGTTTGAGACTCCTGGTCTTCATACAGATGTAAAGAACGGAAGCACCCAAAGGTTACAAGCAAGAGGAGGCTATTTTGCCCACCTGATCCCTTTGGTAGTTAGTTGATAATGGACCCAAGGATCTCATCCAGCTGTTTCTGGAAAGAAACCAAGATACAGTCCCGCTCTTCTCTGGTTAGAGAGAGGCTATTCTCTCTCTAGATCATTGAACATTTTTAGGTTCTTAGTTAATCCTCCAGCTGGATCATCAGCCACTAATCGGCAAAGCTGTGTATCTTGTATTTTGTTCTGGTCTTACTGTGTTAGCGTGTCCTGGACCAAGAGCCCCAGTACTCGACAGACACCTTATTCTGTGCATTGTGCCCATGTCAGTAGTTGCACAAGATCTAGATTTAAGTGGATTTAATCAGAACAGGCCATTTGTTACTTGGGAACTGGAGGACCCTCTGACGTCTGATGAGTAGGTCGCACCCATGCAACATAGGACAGACTGCACGAACATGCCTGTTTCTGTGGTAGCGATATTCCAGCCAGGAGCAGTGCGAGTGTGCGGGCTGGAAAGGTTAATCTCATGCCGAAAAACACACAAGCCTCTTGAGCCTTTTTGGGGTGTGAAGAAGATGGAGAGATAAGGCAGTAGGATATAAAGCACAGGAAAAGAAAGTACGTGAGATTGTGTATCCCAGTGAATGGAGATCTGGGGAGAGAGGCATGAAAGTTGAGGTCTGTAAAAGTATAGAGAGATCTTCTACAAAGAAATCCAGGTCAGAACGTTTGCACCTTCAGTGGTAGACTGATTTATGTCACTATGTCACTCAAGACTCCTCATGCCCCCCCAGTTCCAGGGGAATATGTCTTTCCGCGCGCCAGGTTTTACCCACAGGTTGGTCATAGTGATCCAAACCTGGGTTTCAGCCTCGCCCGCTGCCCTGCTGCTCGAGAGAAATCCAGATATCTCGAGGATGATGACTCCCATCTCCCGTTTCCCTTCACAGCCCCCGGGCATGAACTTTGACCTGGACTCGCTCCATCTCCCAGGAGCCACTGCGGGTGGCGAGCAGTGCGCCATCATGTGACCTCCCGGACGGGCGATAAGATGGGGAAAGAGGGAAGAAAGGGTGACGCCCACTCTTTTCCACGAGCTCGCTCGCCCTCTCTCTCTCGGCCAGCTGGAGATTAAACGGTTTAAAACAGACTGCCGCCCTCGTGGTGAACTTTCACAGCCACCTTCTTTTCCCATGTCAAGTGCAGTGTTCCTCTGTTGACCACCGCTGAATACCTCTCGAGTGAATCCAGCCCCTGATTTATAGTTAGGTGGGGACATCACTGTCTTGCAGTGCACAGCATTGGGAAGCCATGGCATGTTCATGGGAAATGGAGTTTCCGGTTCCTATCTGTGTGGTAGGTTTCAGCTAAACTACAATTCCCTCCATGCTGTGGTGTGTACCAGGATGCTTCCCTGGTAATCTGAGTCAATTTACGATCTTCCTGTATAGGTAGAAGTGTTGAGTTTACAATTCTACTGCAGTTGGGACTTAAGAAAGGATACAAACGAGACGATGGTCCTTGTAGTTGGTTATTAATTGATCCAAGGATCTCATCCAGCTGTTTCTTAAATGAAACAAATTAAATGAGACTTTTTGTGTTCAGTGCTGTCTGAGGGTGTAATACAAGGCGAGTGGGAAAGACTCAGAGGCATTTGAAAAAATCAGATACAGAAGTTAGCTGAAAGGCCACTGGTACAGCGAGACAGAGACAGCAGGGATCCCAATTTTAAATGATGCTACAGTACATGGGTACACTTGCACTTAGAATCCTGGGGGTTTGGGGGTTCCTGTATTCAAGGACACTTGAGTACAGCTGGTTGCCACAGCCATAATACATCCAGGTTTCTATAGATGGATAATTTGATTCAATACAATCTTTTCCCACATCCTACTGCTATAACAAAGTTATCTTACTTGTCTTCCCACAGAAACTATTATTTTTAATTAATCCTTCGGGGGCTGTGAGAATATTCTCACTTGATCTCTGCCAGGATAATCCTGTTTGTATTTTAGAAAAGAAATGACAAATTAAGTAATTCTTCAGAAATTTGTGGTAGGGGAATTGTAAGAAACTTTGCCTTCATTAAATCAAAGGCCTAAAATATGAAGTAATAAAGCCTGAAAGAGAGACTATTTCAGTAAAAGAAGTTTTAAAAAGCATTTCTCAATTGCATTTTTAATCTGATCTGGTAATGTGTTCCAGATATTTTAGAATCGAAACAGGGCATCATGTAGCCATTTGAGACAGCAGTCATAAATCTTCAGATCTAGTTTGAAATGTGATGTTTCAGTGTAGGTCATCATTTCTCAGAG